GTTGATTCTGTGGTCAACTTTGCATTTGTCGTATCCTGCACGTCAGATTAATAAAAAAACACATGTCAATAGCAGACAAAGAAGTGCTCTAGGAAAAAGTTCGGGAGCCCACAAGATCGATTTTCTGTGCAGGCAATGATCGCAAAAAGAATATACAGGTCACAGGGGAGGAATGTTCAAGCAGGATTCCGTGATACCGACTCGGACAAAGGATGCTCAGAGTGGGTAAAAACGGCTGACGTGCTTAGTTTTTGGGGACCAGGAAGCAAGACGTACCTAGTTCACCCCTCATGTATGTATCCAACTCCGACCATGTCTCCCTGGTCATGTTTTGGACATTTGCTCTGATAATCATGAGGAGCTGCGATGGACAAAAGGGAAACTGAGAAAACGAAACCGTCTCATTCTGAATATGTGCAGGGAGCAGTAACTTAAATAAGATGAGATCAACCGCTGCAACAAGGATTTCACGAAACACGCTTTTGAGACTAAACCACCTTCACGGCATGTGACTACTAACCATTACATTGCAAAAAACAAACATGAAAACCTGGATTACCTGATATGATGACACAGTCATGTTGTGAGTTGGTACTACTGGTGTCAATTTTCGAGGAGTAAATTGCTGCAAGATGAACCAAATCCCAGCTTGTTAAGAATAGAAAAGAAAAATATTATATTATATTATATTATATAAAAATAATAATAATAATAATAACTGATAGTAGTGATCCGATTCCAAAATTAAGTTTCCTTGAAGCTGCTTTATAATCGAACGGCATGTCTAGGCTAGAACCTCTGTAGTCATTCACAGGGGCTCCACAGACTTGAGAAGCACGACTCCGTCAGAGGATTAGCCTAAACACACCACTAAGTATGATTTACCTCACTCAACTCCATCTTGTCGACCTTGGGTAATTAGCCCCGTGCGATCAAACAGCTCGGCCTGGATCTCCAGAGACTGAAACTACAGAACCCACACTACAACAACCCCACCTAAAATATCCAATCCAAACCCGCAACACTCGCCCACAAATAACCAGCACCAACGTCTCGAGAAGGATCTTCTCACCACCAACAGCACCGCTGCGACCTCAAAACTCGTCCACTCTACCCAAAAGCGCAATCCAAAATAGAAAAAGAAAAACCACAAATCTAGATAACCCAAAACAAAAAACCGCGCAAGGCCAACGAATTGCGAAATTCGACCCCAACGCCGTCGGAAGAAAAACAGAGCAATCTGAAAAGACGACGCACAACAAGCTTCTAAACCCTGCTTCGGAACAAGGTAGAAGCAGCAGGCGCGCAGAGAGAGATATAATGCAGACAATGGGCTAGACGAGGAACGCGAATTGGTGCTGATCCGAAGCTCTACAAACGGAGTTCAGTTGGTGAAATAGAGGAAGAAGGGAGGGCGTTGGGCTGTCTGTCTGTCTGCCTGTCTGCGTGCCTTGAGAGGAAGTTCCCAGGCACAGGAAGGGAACGCAGTGATGGGGAGACCCGTCATTGACCCCTGGAACCCAGAGTGACGTGGCACCAACCCCGCTGGTGTCTGCAATGCCACGTGTGTACATCATCCATCAACATGCTGACTGACTGACTGACAAAGCTCCTCAATGCCCTTCTCCTTCTTCTTCTTCTTGTGTTCAGTGTTCTGAAAGCTACCGTATGGCATTACCAACCTTGAGTTCATTCTTGCTTACTAGTTTCACTTTCATTGCTAATATAGAATTAGTGGCTTATAACAATTGTTAAGGTTTGATGGTAAGATTAATCATGTGTGTGGAGAACTCATTGGTTTAAGTATCTTAACATTAATGTACTATTTTGACTTTTAGCTGTGCCGTGGATGCTTATCTACACTTTTTCCTGAGTAGCTGAATTTAATATGTGTGCATATATATATATATATATATGTGAATGTATATGGGAATGTATATGTGAATGTATATGTAGACTTGTATAAAACCTGACTTAATACATACACACATACATATATATATATTTTTTAATTTTAAAAATCCTGTTTTGAAATTTATATACAAGAGACTCTCTTCAAAAAAAATATCAAAACAATACCATGCTTCATTAAATTAAAAAAAAAATGCCATTATTTTAAACTTCTATTCTATAAATGTTTTATGAAAACCTAACATTGTAAATAAAGAAATAAATAAATAGGTGAATAATTCTCATAAAAATTTTACAAAAACTTGTTATAAAAATCTTCTAAAATCACATGTGAATAATTCATTGAATTTTTTGTAAAATATCAAAAACAGATTATGGATTATTTATTAAAATAATTTTCATGACAATGAATATAATTTTCTCATATGAACAAAATTTCTGACATAAAAATTATATATATATATATATATATATAGATAGATAGATACCAATAATATCTTTCTTACTGGAAATTTATAAAAAATAATTAATAAATCTTATCTTTTGAAAATAATAAATATTAATCTTGGTTTTTTACAGATAATGATATCATGAAAAAAAATATAACACATAACACTAATTTTACAAAAAATATATATATAATAATAAATATAAAGATAAATATATATATATATATATATATATATACACACATACATACATCCACACATAGAAATTTAGTACTAATAGGGTAAATGACTTCCTATTAGAAGTATGATATGCAAAAAAAAAATTATTTACATATATTATAAATTCATATAATAGTAAAGACCTTAAATTTTTATTAAGTTTTATCCAAAAAATTTAGATTCATATAATTGGCCACAAAATATAACCTTGATTTTGCACCACTGTTTCCTATTATCTAACATATGCCCTATGTGTTCCTTCATATCAGTATGTCGATGTCATCAACTTTTGGTTACAGATTCAAAAAATGATTAATAAACGAAATAGTTATAAATTGCTATAATAATATAATATATTCAAGTCTATTCATGATCAGAATAGTTTTTGAAACTTTATGTGATCTTCAAAGCGTAAAGAAAACGCTTACATATTGTTACCTAATATAATACACGTGTACAATGACTAATATTCAAATAGTAGAAACATCTTCTTTTTCCACAATATTTGCCACTTTTTTACGAAGAAGATTGCTGAATATGTGTGTCTTTTGCTCCGTGGAAACATGGATTCTACAATCTTCAATAATTCTGTTTCACCCAGATTTCAGTCATTCACTTATTTTATCAAAGAACACATCTCCA